CAGTGAAACCATGGCTTCAAGGCAAACAGAAAGGCAGTATTTACATATAGAGCAACTTGTTGACTCAGGTATCAGAAGGAAAAAAAGTGCATGTGACAACTCCAGGCCCTTCAGCTGTGGCCCTCATCCTCTAGACCCATAAAAACTGCTTTGAAGGAAAATGTTAAAATTATATTCAGTAAACGATAGTCATAAATTAATTCCTTAATTAACCAGCATAATGTATTCATAAGCCCATACTTTAGGTTGGCATCAGTAAAGGAGAGACTTAAGCGATAATAGATTAATGTAATGTCTCCTAGAATTATTTGAATATGCTAAAAGGCAATTTTATGCTAACCTGATATGTGATATTAATATTTAATTTCTGACATAAATTACTTTATAAACTCTAATTAAAGTTTGGAACAAACCTGAGGAGTATCATTAAAATAACTTTTAAAAAAAGGCATCATGGGATCGCTAGTACCTGCCATGTTACTTTTGCTTTTTTTTTTCACCTTCAGAAAAAAAACAAAAGAATAATACAATCTGTTTACTTCCTGATCAACAAAAGGCATCTCAAACTAATCTCAAACTGTTTGGAAATGTCTTTAAATATGGCTTGAAGAGATCACAACATAGTTTCTCAAAACGCTGACAACTTTTTCATAGATCCTGAAAACTGGATCAATTCAATGATGTTGTAAGATACCTCTGTAGTACACTCTAAGTGGGTCAATTCTAAATCTCAAGATTTACATAATACTCTATTTACTTTACCTGCTACCGCTGATTCTGAGTTTCAAGGGTAACAGTGCATTTATGAGTATAGAGTATACTTATGAGTGAATGAGGTCCCTCCCCCATTTTAGCAGCTCTCCTATCTCCAGTAAAGGGCTCAAGTATAGTCCATAACATCTGGTAGGAATCATAGGATGCTGGGTAACAGACAAAGAAGAAATAAATAAATCACATCGAATGTAATAAATGTATTGAATAGAAACTTAAACACCATTTGTAGCTTATCTGTGGAATAATATGCGTACAGCATGCATGGCTAAGGGCTCAATCACCAGCATCATTAAAATCAGTTAAAAACATACACATGAAGTTCTGGGTCCACAATTTAAAAGGATGTTTTTTTATTTAAACTAGAAATACAAATTTGCTTTTGACTTGATACTATGAAAGAAAATGAACACTGTCCGTGTGGCAAACTGCAAGGTTCCTAAAATATGGTGAAAAAAATAAAAATAAAACATGCTTTAATGTCTTCAGTGGCCAAAGCAAATTCTGTTCTCAGTACTAACATGGGCACTGACTTATCAAATAATTTATCAACAAGAATGGCAAGTCTATGATCAAACAGGCATTTGGACTAAATACTAATTGTCAAGGCCTCATTGTTACATAATTCTAATCCCTTTTGAAGTTGATAATTTATATAACAATTGTCTTCGTTTTAATGTCTACTATGACTGTGACATCCTGTACAAGTTGTACACAGCCTAATTAAACGACTAACAAGCCTTGTCCTTCCACATCCAAGGCTGTCTAACTCACGGTCCCGGCTGTCCTAAGGCCTTAGCTCCCTGATCAGTACCTAAGCTGGGGAGTTCCTTATTCCTCTATGCTTTTTTAGAAAAGTATTTTTAGTGGAATAATTTATGACATTTTATGAACGTTACTTGAATTTGAAAGAGTAATTTTTAAATGTGTTTTGAAAGGAGAAAAAAAAAACTTGCCCAAAGTTATTTCTAAACTATAACTTCAGATAGAGTCTAATTATGTAACTGAGGGCAGTAGTGTAGTTTAAGTACTCCAGTGTGATCTTGAATTTGTGAACTTCCTATCTCAGCCTCCTGAATGCTGTGATTTCTAGCATATGACACTTAGCCAGGCTAAATTTTATTGTTTAAATAGGAAGCAAGGCCAGTCATAGTACAATATACCTATATTTGTTCCTATTCAAGATTGTTTAAGCCCAGGAAAGTTCAAGGCCAGCCTGGACAGCATGACAACATTATGCATTAAAAATCCAAAATCAAGCAAGGCAATAGATGCAATAATGAAATAAATAGAAAAATGTATTTTTATTTTCCATTAGGATTTTGTATCCCTGTGTGTTTGTGTGTGTGTGTTCCTTGCATATCAGCACATGTATATATGCACATGCTTGTGTGTATATACAGGGAGCCTGAAGTTAGATGCTACAGTCTTCTATTACTTTCCGCTTGAGTTTGGGGATGGGCTCTTGCTGAACTTCATTGGCTATCCAGTGAGCCCAGGATTCTCTTGCCTTCCAGTCTCAGTCTTTGGATTAAGGATGTGAAACTCTATGCCTAGTTTTTACATGGGTTGAGGAGCAAATGTCAGATCATGTTTGTACAGCAACATTCTAGCCACTGAGTCATCCCATCAGTTGCTGGAAAAGAATGGATTTAATACATAAGTTCATTATTGTATTTTCTTCAACAACAATTTTGTCTTAAAACTAAAGTGGAATAAAGAATCATCTACTGGTATCTTGCTTTAAGATTCAAGAGTTAAGGAAAAGACTTACAATGATGATAACTTCATATATCGGAAACACACTTCTAACTTTTTATGTACGGGGGGGGGGGGAGATTCTTGTGGGCTTACATATACTCATTACAGAAATGCTGCCTTTAACCTGGGAGGTTTGTAAGGAGTATTTGCCGAGTTATTAAATGACCTCACAGAAAAACACAGGATAGGATGACTCCCTACAATCCATCTGCCACTTTCCAGAATTATTGCCCAAGACCATGTGCATGGTAAGGTCAAAGGATTAACCATTACCACCACAATGCTGATTGTCTGGTTGGAATAACAGCAGTTACTTCCTGGCAGAAGAAGTACATGTTATGAACACTTCTAAGAGACATCTTGGATATTAGCATGTGCCAAAACATATCTTAGGACAAAACAGTCGCACAGGATCTAAGTCTTGAAGGCACTTGGAAATGCAGGAGACAGCAGTGCCCAAGTATAAAGGAGCTCTTCAGAAACAACTTCAGGAAAAGGAAAGGTGAATCTGTGCAAGACAGCCAACTATCCCACAGGTTTTCCAAACTGCCTGTGGCATCTTCGCACTGGTTTCCTCTTATTAGTTTTGGAGTTCAAAGAAACCAATAAGGAAGGGGCCTGCGGGGAGAACCATTAGCAGATTTTCTTGCTAATGTTTTCTCATACAATAGAGAGGAATATGAGAGAATAATGAATATAATGGGTTTATTCATGTATATTTCCACAATGCATCAACTATCTTGCTAAAATAAGGATGGCTCTATAATGTTTCAATAACACACACACATGTGCATATCGGCAAACAACATACGAACACAAAATAAAAAGAAACTTATTCTCTATTTATTTTATTTTAGAATGTTTTCTGTTTTGTTTTGGGGACACTATAGAGTCTGAAAGAAAGAAGAATGGTGGAAAATAATTGGAGCATTTATATAGTTAAAAATGAACTGTAAACAGCACATTACAAGAAATAAATAGGAAGTACATTACAAGATAGAGATTAAAATAAAACTTATTTTATCTTATTATTTTTAGGTGCCTGTTTTTCTAATGAGAGAAAGAAAGAAAGGGTATGGGTTTGGGTAGGAAAGGAAGTGGGAAAGATATGCGAAAGTTGGGGGAGTGGAAACTGCAATCAGAAGAGACTGCATGAAAAAAATCTGTTTCCAATACAAAAAATGAGAAGAGAAAAGGAAAAAAACCAACAATTTCTTATAGTAGTAAAAAGCTCCAGATAAAATCTAGTTGTAACAACAAATGTTCAAGAATAACACAGTCTAATAAATCATTTTCAAAGAAATTAAGTATCCATTCAAAATCAAAACACGTATTTTGAGTGTCTAAAGTATCATCCCTGAACATGTTCTAGAAATAAAAAGGTGGGCACATCCAGATTGGAAAGGGAGATAAATAAATATTTAGCCACCAACATAGGTAAGATAAATAACCCCTAAGCCTCAGGAGAAAGACATTAACACTTAGGTTTAAAGCATTAATTTTTATTTTAATTTTCTATACAACCAACTATTAATTCACTCTTTATGTCTTTTAATATTTCATGCTTTTTACTTGCTGATTTATCCTTACATCGCTAAGCAACAGTACAAGCAATTGGTTTTTATAAAGGCTTTTTTGGTTTATATGTAAGCTGTTTTTGATTGTTCTGCACTTTACTAGAAAAACATACCTTTGCTAAATGATCACTGGTATTTTTGGAAAACTTAAGAAGTGATTTTCCAACATCTTGGGGCCAATAACAAGCATGAATCTTAATCAAATAAACATAGTATTTCACATAAAAATACACACATATGTAGTGCAAGAAGGTAAAAAACTCAAAATTCGCTAATCCACAGTGTAAAGGAACAACTATGCTAAGGCCTCTTACAGATCTCTGCACCTCTGTAGCCCTTTAAATCTGTACAGTGAGTCGGTCAACTAGGACTGCCTTCCTATTGGTACAGTGGATGTTTTGCTTATAATTTGTAGAACTTTGATTAACTTAACCTTGAGATAGTCCCAAGGTACAGAAAGAAATCTGCTCATAGACTGTAACACCAATACTCTCAGAGCTAAGAGAACTCTACCATGACTCTACATCATATGTACTGACATCTGCATAGATTGTATTGCTGCAGTGGATTCTTATGTATGTACCTATGCACACATAGATATTGCTTAAATGGAGACAGAAGAGAAATGTTAAGCTGGTGGCATCCATATTTCAAGGAGATGTTTCTCTCAAGTAACTATTCTTGCAGACAGAAGAATGGCTGACCTTTTCGTCAACAATGAGGCCCACAGTCTAAACTGTACAAACCAATATACATTAATTTATGCAAAGTCTGCACACAGGAGGAAAAGAATGGCAAAGCCTTCAGAAGATGTAGTGATTTTATCCTGCTTCTGAAAGATAGTTTAGGTGTCTCATTCCAGCTTAAAAATATGTGAAAGTAAATCATAAATGAGTATTCAACAGAGTTTATTGTGGCCCCAAACACAATCAGCAAACTGGCTATGACATCTGATAAAGCCATCATTCAGCTATGTTTACACAAATAAAAATCAAGGTAAGTGCCGTGAAAACTGTTAAGACAGAAAAGTGACAGCACTGACTGCAGCATTTCAGGACCACACCCCTCTAAATGAGGGGGTGTCGGTGTGGAACAACAAACGTCATCAGGTCTGACTGCCCTGAAAGAGCAAATAGACAGGAAGACAACCAAATACTTCCTTTAGGAGAACAGAGTAAAATCAATTTCTCACTAAGATTTCTAAAAACATAAAAACTAAATTACATAAAGCCTCTACTTGGAAGCTGGCATGAGAATGCACACCTGTAATCCCAGGTGTGACAGGTAGAGGCAGAAGGTCATCCTTGGCTACATGATGAGTACAGCCTGGGCTCTATGAGATCACCTTGTATCAGGTAAGCCTCTAGATAAAGCAAGTATAATTTACATACTAAAAATATGACTTCCACTTTGACACTGAATGCTATGACTAAAAACAACTGGGAGCATGTAAAAATAGCCAGCCGTAATTCAACATCTAGAATTACAGAGTGACTAAATAATAAACTTTACCATTCAAATTGAGATAGAAAGTATTAACAGAAAATGGGGAGAATGAAAATGGCCGTCACATGAGACCAAGAAGAGTAAAGCCATGTGAAATCAAGTTTTCCCAAGAAAGGAAAACTATAGTTTAGATAATGGTGGTGTCTCAGTCTTTTAGAGAAAATCTTTGAAACTTTAGAATAATGAAGCTGAAAGAGATGCCCTCTTAATTAAACCAAGGAACCAACAGTGATATCACACTATAAGGTACAATGATAAATTACCTTACAAAATGACAGCTTTTCTTGAATAGAAAAGGAACAAATATCCATGCCTCTGAATCTGAATGCTGCAATTGAGTTTTGTGTTCTTGCTTTATTTATATTGGAGGATGATGAGGACACCAATAAAGACATTTCATAAAATCTTAAAACACCAAATCTGAAAGCAGCTCATGAAAAAACAATGGCAGGGCTCCAAAGTGAGGGATGAGGGCTCCTGGCAGAGGGGTATGATTCTGTTGTACCTGACATTTTAGGGAAATTGCGAGAAGTTAATGAAAATAAAAACTGTAGGACACCACTTATCTACTGGCTATCTGTACTTACATGTGGATGGTAAACCCTGTACAGAGTCAGGGGTGTCCTATTAAAACACTCGCTGTATGAGGCCAGAAAAAGCCTAACTTAACATGATCAAAGTTACTACACAGCTTGGACATACTGGTAATAAAATCAATCAAGTAATAACTATGTTGAAATATTTAGTTACTCTGTAAATATACATATGTGTAAAGATATGTATGTGGTAAACAATGTACAAAGCCATATATAAATTAAAGTGTTTTTCTTAATTGTATAGGTACCTAAAATAATAAACAAAGCATGTATCCTATACAGATTGAAATTTGACAACTTTTGGGCATAATTTAGCCAAATTTAAAGTAACAATTTGAAAAAGAAAATATGCATAAAACCCAATTTTACACATACAAATACTTGTCAAACATGTAAGCAAGGGTATCTGTTTCCAAAGCATGATATAACAACACATTATACATGGAAGTAATTGAATGCATTCGTTTTAAGTTCCAATAAAGTTGCAATCTTTAGTTGGAGTAGCCATTTTTGAACAAACTCAAGCTTTTTCACTTGCAAATTTTATATGACTATGTCTAATCTTTCAGAGCTATTTATTTTCTTCAAAGTAGCCTTTGTAGAGAATTTGGATCACGTACCCATGCCTCTGTCTGAACAGGCTTGATATTGCTTAGTAGCACCTCTTCATAGTTTCCGTAGTCCGTGAACCTAACGACCGCTGTCATACCCGAAGAATGCAGGGCTTCAACTTCTGCTCGGTAAAACTGAAGGTGCAAAAGAAGTTGAAGCAAGACATCAGTGCTGCCTACAAAGACAGTGTCTAGGTAACAAGTTCATGTTCTCCACATCCTTCTAAAAGATGGATTATCTAATTATGTACCAGGAAAGAGTTGGTTTTTGCTGTATTATAGTAGTAACTAGTACATTTCAAGTAATTATTAAGTCAGTTCTTGATGTTTCCTTCTCATGTCTGGGTGCTAATAACTTTAGAGCAACATGTTGGCATGTTATCCATTCCCCCCTCCCTTCCTCTACTTTAGATTCACTATTATGTTGTGAGTTGTTTCATTATATGTTTCGATCTTAAACTTTTCTAATTGCCTAAGTTTACATAAATTCAACAGTCATCCTGTACCCCACGAAAACAAATGCCTGTTTAGCAACTTAACCGTTTAATCTTTAGCTCCTGTAATCCCATAGAGTAACTGAAAAAGTGCAGGATTCAATTTGTCTGGTTTTTATCTTCAACTCTCTAAAATACAACCCTGACACAGAGGTGAGTTTTTAAAAGCTGTATAAGAAACCTAGCACTAAATAAAGCCATATATTTAATTTCTTTTTTCAAAAAGTATCTATAGTTTTATAAAGGCTATCCAGGTAAAACAATAACAGCAACAAAACTTCTCTATAATGTGGAAATTAGTGCAATACAGTTGTAATGGTCTGCTATTTAAAAAGCTGAGAACTCAGGAAGAGCTTCCTGTGACAATGGAACACATTTATTTATTTATTTGTTTGTTTGTTTGTTTGTTTTTAAAGATTTATTTATTCATTTTATCAGAATACACTGCTGCTGTCTTCAGACACACCAGAAGAGGGCATCTGATCCCATTACAGATGGTTATGAGCCACCATGTGGTTGCTGGGAATTGAACTCAGAACCTCTGGAAGAGCAGTCAGTGCTCTTAACCGCTGAGCTATCTCTCCAACCCATGGAACACATTTAAAGACAAAGAGTATTCAGCCAACTCGAATATTTCCAGGGGAAGTTATGGGGCCATAAACATGCACACAGGGAACTAATAAAAGTTTTAAAGTAATTATGATATGACATGACTGCTCAACAAATAACAAATTAGGACTTGTATGTAGTAAGTGTCATATAATGAAAGGTCTACTAACAGTTTGTATTTCATGCACAGGTAAGAAGATTTTAAGTGGAATGGATCATAGTAATGCAGTATCAATGAAATGCAGATCTAAGGTTGCAGGCAAGGAAAACAATTTGGAGGCTATCATTATAATATTCAACTCCAGAGGGAGAAATTAACTAAGTTAATTTTATAGTGTAATGCGAGACGGAAAACTGCCTCAAATTCTCAGTTCCATGGAAATAAAACAAATATTGTGAGGAATTATGCAAACATTAGACTATACCTGTTGAACATTTCCAAAACATAATCATAGTAAAAATTAAGCTATGGCTTCCTAATGGTAGTTATAGCCCATATCTTTTCTTATATTTCTATCTTTACTTTTATCTAAACAGAAAAAGAATGTGAAAGTTGTCTCTTCTTGACAAAACATTTAAATATGCCCCTTAAGCTGGGTAGCTTTGGGGGTAACTATGAATAGCCTCAATTTTTAATACTTGAGTATAATCTAGAATCTACAGACACACAACTAACTGAAAAGATACATGTCAGTGTAAATGAAAGTGATCACATTAAAAGATCCTCTCGTTGTTCTAAGAACACTATATAGCTCAAAATGTTTTGAATATCAAGATAGTCTAGATTTTCATTATAAACCTATTCAACCCATGCAACAAATGAATTCAGGACATTGTTTTCTTTCCTAAATTATTAATCAGTCTTTATTTTGATAAAGTACCTATTAAGTATAGGCTACCATAATGATAAATAACTAGAATGTTTTATTGAAGAGAAATGTTTCCTTTGATCCTACACACACACTGATTTTTAGACAATTATAATTAAGATTAAAGCTTTATTAAAAAGTGTGTCAAGTTCTATAGGCATTTGCATACACACAGTCAGAACTAACCTACATATCCTCAACCTAGTGCTTAGCAACTACAGAGTTATGGTTTATTTAACACTCAATTTTTGCAGAAGGAACTTGTCTGCCAATTTCAATTGGAATACAGACAGACCTGTTCTTCTCTGTTGCTCCATTTATCTCTGGGTTGATCATTTATATCCAAACCTTTTCTTTCTTTTGGCAGCAGACAAGAATACCAAGGAGATACCCTTTTTCAAAGACGGTGGTATTAGGCTTGCCAGCAGTTGGCTAATGGAGGGTTGCTGTCACTAACAGAGGCATAATTCTTATAGGATGTCGACGAAAGACTGCCTCATTTACCAGGTCTTTCCAACATGGTTAAACTTCAATCCTAATCTCTCCTTTTTCTGGCTCTAGTACAGATCAACCCATCACACCATAGATCATCCAGTATAGAAAACAATACCTAATCTCTCACACAAAAGTCTAACCTGGTAGCATTGTTCTAAGGTCTACAATGTAAGCTTTATAATCATTTACAACCTTTTCCTTGCCTCCGAATGAAGATGAAGTAGCTAAATATAAAGACTTTTTCAATATGCAAATCAAGCATTTTCTTGTGACTTCCATGGGCAACAGGCATGTAACTTCAGTCCCAAGAGAATCTGACCCCCTCTCCTGACCTCTGTGGGCACCAATCATACATATGGTATACATACATTCATGCAGGCAAAACACTCATACACATAAAATAAAATGACTAACACTTTTTTCAAATAAAGTACCTTGCAGTAAATCTACCAATGTAAAAGACTTACACAGTGAAAATGCCGATAGGAAGGAAGGGAGGGAGGGAAGGAGGGAGGGAGGGAGGGAGGGAGGGAGGGAGGGACTGTAAAAATACTATTCTGCCAAAAGTAATATTACGATGCTGAATAAACACCATATTAAACCAACTTCTAATTTGTTAAATTCATAGATCAATCTGAGAAGCTATTTTAGTAGATGTCGATTAACACAGTTATGTACAACTAGTTAAACTTCAGAGAGTAAGAGACCACAGAACGCTAATCTCTAACCATAACACAAATACTGCAACTGGCCTCCCAAGCCAGGGAGGCGAATTAGCCGAAGGTGGTGGACGACTGCAAGAAAAAATTATCTTCTGGACACAGCAGGGCAGTGTATGAACTCACAGCAGTTGTGATAGCATGTACAAACCTTGTGCAAGCCAAGGCCACACCAAGTCCCAGCAAGGAAAGATAAGTTGGGCACACAGTCCCACTTCAACTCCAAGCCTTGAAGCTAATGGCACAGCCTTTAAAGTTTGAAATTATATTTTAGAATGGGGCATGAAACTAAACAGAGTTCTCAAAAGATGAAAAACAACCAAGAAACATTTTTTAAAGTGCTTAATATCCTTAACCACCAGGGATATGAAAATTAAAACTACTTTCATTTTATCCCAGTCAGAATGGCTAGGGTCCAAAAAACAAATAACAGTTAAGTGCCAGGATGCATGAGGGAAAGACGAACAGTCACTACTGCGTGGGAGAGGACGAACTGACGCAGCCACTGTGGAGATCAGTGAAAGCAGATCTTCCACAGGATCCAGCCATATCACTTCGGACTGAAAGGGTAATGAATGAGAGATTCTATGCCCTACTAGAGATACCTGCTCAACCATGTTCACCAACGCTCTCCTCACTGTAATAGCTAGGAAGAGGAAACAGCCTACATGTCTATCAGCTTATGAATGGATAATGGAAATTTGTTATTCAATATTATACAGCTATTAAGGAAAACAATTATGAAATTCACAGGTAAATGGAGGTAAACCAGACTAATAAAGACAAACATTGTGTTTTTCTCTCATTTGTGAATATTAGCTTCAGTGATCAGGTATGCATGCTTCCTTTGGAATACCCAGAGAGATCTGGAAATTAGGAAGGGCCAACAGGTAGAAAGGGAAGTAACTGGAAGGAAAGATAAGAATAATGGAATGACAATAAAGGCCTTCAGAAAAAAATCATATGGAAACCTGCTACTATACTTCAGAAGCTTCATCACAGAGCACAGAGAGAGAGAGAGAGAAAGAGAGAGAGAGAGAGAGAGAGAGAGAGAGAGAGAGAGAGAGAGAGAGAATGAATAAACTTACCCTATAACAAGATGACAATACTTTTATAAGCCACTCACAAGCTAACAAACAAAAGTCGTATGCCAAGAATGGATTATGGCTTTTCGAATTGTTGGCCAGTGAGTTCTCATAGACTGCAAATAGTCCAGGTTAGTGCCAATGGCACTGGTGACCTGACAGAACTTGATGGTAAGACCCTACTGCTGAAGACAGTACATATTTAAGTCATAGGACATGGAGATAGCAAGCTGTTAATAACCTGGAAGCTCCATTTCCACTCGGAGCGTTCGTAGTTCTGAGAGGCGCTATGCACACTACTATACGAGAAAAGTAAGCATCAATCTTATCCAGCTATCAACCCTGCAAACAACAATGACTACTGCAGCAAGATATGTCCAATAGTAAAACAGAGGCTTGAAGAGAATGAGCATAACCAATCACTGTTTAGTTGGATCTAAGGTCCACTTCACAAGTTGAAACCCATACCTGGCACTATCAGGGCTGAGAATCTATGGGTGGAGAAGTCCTAGTCCCAATGGGAGAACCTACTACTATTATTAGACTGTATTAATAGTATTAGACTGTTATAGATTAACACACCTATCAACTTGTATGAGAAGAGCTTCTATTTACAGTAGACGGTGATTAACAAAGAGACCCACAACTGGTCAAGGTGCAGAGAACAGAACACCAGAATGTTCAGTCCTAAGTGCAACATAGTAAGTCATACCCCTAGCCCCATGGCTCAAGTACCATAGAAGGGGATGGGCCAGAAAAGAGGCAGAGGCAGTGGATGACTAAGAAAACAATGCTGTCTGGACATAGCAGGAAACTCCACATATGAACTCAGAGAGGTTGTGAGAGCGTGCATAAGACCTGTACGAGCTGAAGTCAGACTAAATCACAGAGTGAAGAGGATAGGAGTGTAGCCTCTAGCTAGACTAGCCTCTAGCTGAGGAACTACTGGCCACTGATAGTTGCTGCAAGAGGGAGAGTCAGTTTTCTTTAAGAATGTATCCTGGTAAGTTGACTATGCTACAGTCAAAGACTCCACATCTAACACTATGTGGGCAGCACAAATTGGAATTGATGGGTATAATATGTTTTTAAAGACTTTGTTTATTTATTTATCATTGATTGATTGATTGCATCGGTGTCCTGCCTGTGTGTCTACATCTGGATGAGAACATGAGATTCCACTGGTGCCATGCATGTGCTGGGAATTGAAACCTGGTCCTCTAGAACAGCAGCCAGGGCTCTTATCTGCTGAGAAATCTCTTCAGCCCCCGTGTATAAAAAATTTAAAAACAGGACACAAATTTGAGTGGGTAGGGAACAAGGAGTGGATCTGAGTGGAGTTAGGAAAGGTGATAAATGCAATTAAAATACATTGCAAAAAATTCTCATTGAACTCACAAAATTAAAATCAACGTTCTGGGTTCTCTTCCCTTTCTGTGCCAACTCAAGTCTCCCAGCTCTCAAAAGATTCTTATCACTCTATTCTTTTGCTTTTTCCCCATCTTCTCCTTTCCCACCATGGCTTCTTTCAGTCCCTTCTAGCCAACAAGTAAGTATTAATTTATTTATTACAAGGTTTAAACTAGCTTATATTCATTTTTCTTTTTTACAGGCTGAATATATAATATTCTCTCTAAATGAAAACGTACATAATTTTGTACCACTGAAATTATTTTCCCCCTTGGAAATGAGTAAAATTTGAAAGAAAGTAAGTGCCTCTAATTTAGCAAATAGTATGAGAACTATGGCTGAACTAAGTTTAACCACTTTTTATATGGTTCACATATGTAAGCTAAAACAAATTCTGCCTAAGCATCCACAAAAAAATGTTAAATATTTTATTAATTACATACCTATAAACCTCCTTAAAGGCTCAAAACAGGTATGTTTACAGAATAATGCATACAAATACTTTCTACAGAATCCCATAAGACTATTATATAACATGTAGCAGCATGTTTCCAACATTCATACCTTGTTGTCTTCCCAATAAAGTGCAAAACATTCATCTCCAGGTTTCCACATTTTTGCATACTCCACAGGAATGGATGATTCTATCACCTTTTCAGGCTTAATTGGCCCAGATCTTCTTTTGGGCCCACTATTATAAAATATTTTATCATCATAGGGCACAGCTGTGACAGGTCCTGCTGGCTTAATTGGTCCTACTCGTCTTCCTTTCAGAGGCATATCTGTTTCTCCATTTGGAACACCAACAAAACTATTACTTTGGACAGGATTCTGGTAATCAGTATTTACACTAAAATGTTTTTCAATTTTTAGACCACTAAAAGCTTCACTATTCATTGTCCGTGATTTCCTGTCATAAAAATGATCAGGATTACCTGTTTGGTTTTCTCTTTTCCCACGTTTTTGGTTATTATAATCTGCCAATTCTGGAGGAAGTGGGTTTTCTTTTGCCTCTGCATACAAAGGGCCTCTTCCTGATCTGTTTTGCATAGAGTTATCTCTCTTTTTAAAAGCGCCATCGTTATGCTGAAAACCTAAAGGATATGAAGCGTCTTTAGTTCTGTCATATCTAGAATATGGCCTATCACACTTGATTCTCTCTTCTGCCCACATATCAGAACCCGAAGAACTACTTGGTCTTTCGGAGCCTCTATTTCTAGATAATACGCTGTTTTCTAAGGCTGACTTTGAATTGGGGGTATCTCTTTGAAAGCGAGGAGGTTTCTCATTTCTCGGCTGCCTGGTATCATTTCGAGGAAGATGTCTTGATTGATTGCCATCCTTTATCCCATTTTGCTCAGTATTCAATACTCTGTGCTGTCCTTGATGAAGGTGCTGTGGCTGTGACTTAGGTTCTAAAAGGCAGAAGTACATGCATATTAGAATTAAGACAGCATTGGTAGTTACTTATTTTTTAAATGCCTAAACTTACACTGATAGAAAGTTACTATGCTAACATCCCCTATCTTCATACCTTGTTACCTTACCTCTCAGTATCTTCTAAGTTCTAGTTATCTATCATGAAGTCTTCCTCATCAGCACATTAAAAAGTTAAGCAATGATGGAATCAATATAAAAGTAGTTTAGCAGCTGCAAATTTATTCTATGTCAAGTGAGGAGATTACACATACACACGTAAATATATATATATATATATATGTGTGTGTGTGTGTGTGTGTATGTATATATATGTATGTATATATATACTTTCTTCTACTGTTTCACAAAAAAAATGCCTTACAGTATCAAATACATGATTTATCTTTGATGAACAAGTTTGGTTTTTTCTTTCAGTTGGTTGGTTGTTTTGACATAAATCAGTGTCAAGACACAGCTCCTTGTACATTGCCTGGGATCACCAGATTTCCAAAGATGGGCACTAATGACACTCTGTTGACCTATTTCCTGAATTATAAGAAAACTACCCTCTTTGTTCTCCAGATATTAAATGCAAATTTATTATGTAGCTACATGTTTCCAACACTCACTAGAAGCAAAATAATTGTCAAGTAAATTGCTCAGGTCAACAAAAATTAAAAAGATGTTTTATTCTAAGTCACAGATTATAAACCAAAATTCAAAATGGCAAGATGAGCAAGCAAATAAAAGAAAACATCATAGCAGATGTACTGTAGTTGACATTTAAAGTAAAATGAATTATTTTCTAGGTAAGTTTCTCCATGCAGGCTAACCATCTATTAATTATGACAAAAAGAAATACCCAAGGCTTCAAATGCCTGCCAATTAGATTTATGAGAAACTTACCCTAAGAGTATCTATTTTATAAACATACTCAGATGTTTTACTTTTAACAATCATATTCAATATAGAAATTTTTCTTCTTATTTTTTAATTTATGTTTATGGAGGAGGTTGTATATATATTGTGTATGGCATAAGTGTGTGCACAGGCCAGATCCCCTAGAGCTGAAATTACACCAGATGGTAATCCACCTGAGTGCCAGGATCTGAACCCTGGTCCTCTGGAAAACCAGCAATCACTCAACTGCTGAGCCATCTCTCGAGCCCTCAGTCTGCTTTGGAGACTCTTGCCAACATTAGGATTTGTCTTGGAAAAAAGACTTAGGGAAGAGAGAAGACTGGTGACACATAAGATGAGTATGCTCAACAGAAAGGCATGTCAGAGACCAAAGCAGCAGTGCTCTCTGATGGCCACATAGGCACCCTTCACATAGTATCATGATACAGAAACACTGAGGCTTAATTAACAAAACAGGGTAAGGTTCCTTATAGAGTATACTCAGGAAAATTTTGTTGCCAAAATAAATCAAATATAAAGATATTTGACTTGTCACTAGCTAGATATGGAAATATATTTGGAGAATAAGCTTTTGGGCTTGCTATGGTAAGGATTTGTTTTTCCCTTAAACTATTTTACTCAGGGTCACTAATACCCATGATAGTCAAAAGACATTAGAAAGGAAGCAGGTAACCTTGAGAATAACTGCTAAAAATACATAGAAAGAAGGTCCAACTAGACTTGATAGCTGTGAGATTAGTTGATCTCAGTTTTGAAAGAAAAAACAAGGAAAGCAAAATTTTCTAGTCTACAATTGGGGTTAAGACTCTTATGTTAACAATTTAATATGTTTACTCCAGAACAAATATCCCAAGAAATTCCGAGGTAGTTTATCTTTTTTTTTTCCAAACAAATAACCAAGCTTAGAAAACTGCACAAGGGTAAAGAGGAAATGTCATTCCTTTTAACTGTCAAAATATTATCTCTAAGTATTGGCTATAAATGGTAACATAAAACAAGTAATTTTACTAATAAAGAACATATACTTCATTTTCATTATTATGCTGAGATATGCCAAGGTCTAGCCTCAACTTGGAGAGGTGTTCCTGAGAGAAGTGGATATCTGGGAGCTTCGAAACAAAAGACTCAAAGTCAAATTGTGGGTCCAAGCTGAAGCCTGTGTTCTGCTCAAGATGGCTCTCTAGACAGCTCTCTGTAGATAGCTCTTGGCTCTGGAGTCTGCTCATGCTTGAAATAGCTCTCTCATGTTCGGGAAAATTCTAAATAAAAGCTCTCTGGATAGGTCATGGGTTTTCTGACCAGAGTCAGAAAAGCTGCTATAAAAAACTCTTGGATTCTTTGAGCAAGTCAGAAATCCTATTTAATTCTAAAAGTAATTCTTGGGTTTTTCTGATCAAAATCAGAAAGCCTGAAAACATTTTAAAAGACCTGTGTTCACTCTCTAAGCAGTTCTTTCTTTAAAGCTGCTAAGTTGTGTTAGCTCTCTAATTCTTGAGATTTCTAACCAAAAATTTAGAAAAAAATTCTAAAAGAGCAATGAAAAATTCTAAAAATCAAGACTATGTTTGTTTTCCATGGATTTTCTGACCCAAATCAGAAGTCCTTTTAGAAAAAAATTCTTGAAAAGCTGTCTTTGCTCTCCAGAGATCTCCAGGCAGCTCAGCTCTTGCTAGAAAAGTTCTAAAAACAATTGCTATCACTCTCTGCTAGCTTATCTCCTGCAGACCAAAAGCCCAGTTTTTAATTTATGTATCAATTCAGTCATTCATTCCAGGTTCCCTCTGGATCATTCCATAAATCATCATTTCATGACCTTAGCCCACTGACTCTTAGGAAAACACCAAAGTCCATTTTCTTTTAACATTGCAAAAGAATTCGGAGATCTGCCTGCCTTTGTTAACTTGGCAGAGTTGGATCTCTCCCCTCCCAACACCGTCCTGAAATTACCTTAGCTGGGTGGGATTCTTGCCTTTGGACCACCACTCCCTAGATCTCTTTAAGTCCTTCCTTAGCATCTCTCTGACAAGCTGGCTCACAGTGCAGCTCCCTCTGTTCCTTTAGATCTGTGAAGCTTCTTACACAATTCATAGTGCATCCTTATATTTTGCATAGTTGAGAAATTATATATTTTTAAACTCATGTTTTCAGGATTCCCCAGCCTTAAGGGCTGTCCTGAAGGTCACAGCATTCTACCCTTTTGCTGAGACATTAGACACACCCTCACCTTCCAGACTAAAGCTGTCTCTGATTATCATGGAGCATTAACCTAGGCAGAGATGACATTCCTCGAAAATATTTACATTATTACACAAAAAACCCTCACACCTACAGCAAACATCAACAGTCTCGGAGGCCCTGCCTTGTTCCCGGAAAGTACCATGTCATTCACCCTTATATGGCTTCAGTTTTATAGTCAGAATCCAGGTACCTTCTGCCACTCTTACAGAGAATCAGGAATCCAAACTGTAACACTCCAAACAGCACCAGACGCTAAATCTATAACCGCTACAGTAATACAAATGTATAAGAAAGAATAAATTCATGAGCTTTTAAACCTTAGCCAAAAGAAAATAATACCAAAGAGTAGCAGAAGCAGGTGAGGATTTTCTTTTAATCATAATGCTTCTGATTCAAAATGAAATCATCCTGGAAATAGATGGAACACTGAAGATTACATAGCAGAATACAGGAAAGATTAGCAGACTATGATGAACAGTATTATAAAATAGACAAACCATGAACACAATAACAGCTCAAAAAGAAAGAAAAGGCATCATCACAAAGTGTTGCTGTGAGTTAGCGTGAACTGAAGTAAATATTGTTATACCAGATCATTGATTTCAAACTGTGTTTATAATAACTAAAATAGTTTCAGCACTATATTAAATTTGAGAATCATCCAGAAAGAAACTATTGTCAAAAACCAACTACTTCTATCAGTATTAAGGATGCTGAATTAAACAGCCATCTTATAGTATGAATACTTCCTTTGCAAAATACTCTATCTCCAGTGGCATCTACTCCTTCATTTTAAGGTAGTGTTTGAATATCCATTAGCATCTGACTCTGATCTACAGCCAGTTAAGCAGATAGACTAACTGTAGCTCTTCACCAGTTTGGGTCCTATAGTGTAAGAAGTAGACACATGGACCCATTCCTAATTCTGAAGAAAACTCCAACTGACAACCAATTGCAAATGAAAATTTAGTTTCCTCCCAGAGAGTCTCATTCTCAAGAGTAGGCTCCTTGTGCCCAGCACTGATGGCAACAGAAAAAAAGCTCAGTAGCATCTTTGGAGGCTCCTTGTCTCATGGTAACATGGGAGGTATCTCCACTATCAAAAAAAAAAAAAAATATATATATATATATATATATCTTTTACTTTTCATCTTATTTTATTTTTTATTTATTTTTTTAGTTGTTCTTTTAGCTCTTCAGGTCCTTTGCATACATACTATGGCTTTCAGGTCAGTGTTCTGATGGGATTCCTGTGTGTGCGATGGAGTAGGTCACTTTCCTGTGCTCTTTGTTTTTCTGATTGTTTGTCCAATTCTGATGTGTTATTACCTTTGCTTAATCTTATCTTATATATAAGGGAGGAGCAGAAGGAGTGAAAAGCATAATCGTGATACATTATGTGAGAAATAGAACTATTTGTAATAAAAGGAAATTTTTTTTAAAACCTTAATCTGTGCACCAACTACTTCCACCTGTATCCTGAAAGCACAATATTATTATCCTTATTTGACAAGTGGAGATTCAAAGCAACGCACCTCAACTAAAATCCCACCTAGAGAGTGTGCAATCTAGAGCGACACTAAAACCCTACTGAATCTAAAGGCTTCTCACCTCAGTATGCCAGTCTGCATGCCCAGAAACACTAAAGCAGCCAATGAGATAGTTATTGCTCACTGGTAAGGTGCAGAAAGTGCAAAGGCCCCTAGTAATCCTTGAACGGCTGAAAAACACATTTGATGTCAGGAATGCTAAACGCTGCCCTAAAATCATCAGTATTTTACATTCAAGCAGAAAAACTGAAGCCACTGGAAAGAACTGGGCTAACATTTAAAAGCTT